AATCACTCCTTTAGTTGCTCCATTTAAAAATTCCCATTCACCCTCACTATTTCTAAACATTGCACCATGTTCTGCATATACTCTAATACCTTTTGGAAACCAACTATCAATAATTTCTTGAGCTCTACCTGTACATAAGACAATTCTATCTTTATGTTTTAAGAAAAATTCAATTAATTCTTTTGTTGGTTTAGCATCTTCTGGTTTTGGTTTAATTTCTACTAAAGTTCCATCATAATCAAATAAACAATCTCCTTGATTTTTGATATTTAATTCTTTAAATACCTCTTCATTTATTTTAGGCACAGATTCTGATATTACTGGATCTGGATAATCTAGTGTATTTGATAGAACTAATGGTTCTTCAAACTTTTCATTTTCTATTATATCATCAACTGTGTTAACTAAAAAATTTCTATTATTTATATCTTTCATAAGTTCTTTATAATAATTTCTTATGTTAACTGGATTGCCTTTCCAAATAGTCGCATCTTTCATCATCACGTTTAAATCTTTTCTAAAATTATTCGTTAATATTTCCGTATTTTGATAATCACCATGGAATTTTTTATTTTCTTTTATTTCTACTTCACTATCTTCTTCTCTAATTTTAAATATCTTTGGAATGTGTCTATGCTTCAAAATTAACCTGATAATCATTTTCCTTAATTCATTTTCTTTTTCAAATGACATTCCTGAAAATCCTACTTCGATTTTACAAAAGTCCATAAAAATTTTTAAGAACTCTTCAACATCAAACACTCTTTTAGACTCTGGTGGTAATTCTTTAAAATCTAATATATTCTTAGCAATTGTATAGCCGTTATTCTCTTTATGAACAATTCGACAGTTAAGTAAATTTGCAAAATTTACATGTCTTTCACCCACGTAACAGAATGATCTTATCATTGCTATTATAAGTTCGTATTTAGAATAACATACTTCAATATCAATATTGTATGTCCTTTTAAGAAATTGTATCATTCTATCAGTATAAATACTAAAGTCTAATTCTAGTCTTGCTACATATATTTTAGTATTTGGATTGCTATTAATGAAAGGTTCCATTAATAACAACATTTCTGAATCACATATTACTGATTGGTTTTTATTGTGCTTAAGGTTAACATCACTATATTGTCTAATCTTATTAGCTTTTCTGCATCCTGATTCATAATCTAATAGTTCTGCTTTTATTATTTCCTCCTTTATTTTCTTTTTTGGATCCTCTACTTCCATTAATTCTTCATTGTTTTCTACTATCTCAAGTATTTCATATACTGACTTTTTATCTATATAAGAATCAATATAGTGAATTCTTGTTATATCAATATTAGAATATTCTATTGATAAATAAAGATTTAAATTCATAAATGATATTGAGTCAATTGTAAATATATAGGTGTTGTCTTTTGTAAATGATTTGATTATAGTTTCTATGTATGGAATATATCTAGCAAAATATCTATCAAACTTTACATTCATTATAGCAACCTTACAACTTACATATAGGGGTAATAATAACAATTGAGGATCGTTTATAATGATTAAATCAGATTCTTCATAATTAATCTTCTCTGCAAATTTTTTATTTATCTCAATGTATTGATCAAACATTGATTTTGAATCACTTAAAGAATCACTACCAAAAGATATTTTGGACATTAAATTACCATAAAATACCTCATAATCAGTGTACTCGGTAATATCTTCATATTCTATGTTCTGTAAAATATCAAAATCTCTTCTCTCTTTATATTTAGTTTTGTATTTGGTCTTAATCTTTGAATCCATGTTATTAAATGTTGCAAGTTTTAAATCAAAATAATCTTCTCTTCTTGAACAGTAAATAACTTTCATTTTATAAAGGAGGGGTTGTTTTTTTTATTTATAGTAACTACTCCTTTTTAATCAAAATTGATCAATCAATTTTGATTAAAAATAACTAGTTAATTTTATTGACGCATATAAAATATCATCAATGATAATTTGTTAAATTTATTTTGATAACAGTAAAGTTTTATACCTAAAACTAGAAAATGAAGTTTTTAATTTAAATACTTAAAGTTATTAAAAAAAACTATTAAAATAGAAATCAATTAAGAATGATAAAAATTTTAAAAAATCAACTTAATCAGAAAATTTGAATCAAATTATAAAATAAAGTAAATTTATTAAAAGTAAAGTTAATTAAAATAAATTGAGAATGTTTTTATAAATTCATCTATCCCTTCTTTAAACTCAAATCTATATTTTCCTTTTTGAGTAGTAAAATCTATAGAATTTCCATTTCTTTTTAAAAAACCTTTACTTAACCGAACACTTAACAATCTTGTAAACAACCCATCTCTAATAAATGTCATAATGTCATCTTTAATTTCTATATAACCAGTACCCATCGTAATGTATTCTTCATCCCAATATTTAAGTGTTATGTTATTGAAAATATTATTGTTGTCAGGTGTGACTTCTTTAATTACTGCTTTTTTAGGCACTTGTGTGTTTTTAGTCAAAAAACTACACTCTTCTCTTTTTTTAGAAGAATTACTCTTTTTAACAGAATCACTGCTAAAAATATTTAAATTATCTTCTGCTGGTTTAACTAAATTCTCTTCCTTTTCACTATCTTCTATTAAAGAATTATTCAGAGGTTTTCTAAGAAAAGGATTATCTATAACTGAATCTTCTAATTCATCAATAAGTTTAATTTCGTCATCAATATTATCTTCTAAATCACGAGTATCTTTACTTGCTTTATTAAACAAATCTTTATTGTTAAAATTCATTTAAATTAATTTTATTAAAATTTTTATATAAAAATCTATTCAATTACACATACAGAAGTTTATTTAAAAATTTATTAATTAAAGTTAAATTTTGATAAATTGTTTAAAGTTTGTGATTAAATTAACTATTCTATTTTTAATTATGTTTTTTAGTTAAAAAAGGAGAAATTTAAATAGAAATTGA